GAAACAACTCAAATGTCCAAAAATAGATGACTGGATCAAGCAGATGTGGTCCATGTACACAATGGAATACTATTCAGCAACCAAAAAAGATAAACTCATGCCATTCGCAACAACATGGATGGAGCTATAAGGGATCATGCTCAGTGAAATAAGTCAGAAAGAAAAAGAAAAATATCAGATGGTTTCAGTTATAGGAGGACGATAGGGGAAACAAACAAGAGATCAGAAAAAAAATAACAATAATAATAATTAAAAAAAACAAAGTTAGCAGGCAACCATAAATCAGAGACATTCTTCGAGGGTGGGGGAGGAAAAGGGATCAAAACAGGAGAGAGAAGAGCACAAAGGACTATGGTGATGTTTCATGGGTAAATTGGTGATGGGAATTTTATGGGGAATACATAATTTTGTAAAAGATATAGATAAAGTATGCGTTTTCATCTTGGTTATAGTCCCTGTACAATTCCTACCACCCTTGTTTTGATCCTACTCCCTTCCCCCCTCCTCTCCTGTGGAGTGTCTCTGTGGTTGCTTGTTGATTTTGATTTTCACTTTGTTGTAGTTAAGTTTTTTTCCTGATCCCTTATTTCATACATTGTACAGAAATGAAAAATGATGTAAAAAATATATAAAATAAAAAAATAAAGCAACTTAAAAATTTAAAAAAAAGAAAAATTTGCAAAAAAAAAAAAAGTTCCTAGAATCCTCTTACTATGCTAGTTGAAATCAGGAGAGGCCAAGAGCAGGATTCCCAAAAAAGGGAGTTAAAGAGACCAAAGTCCTCTTAGTTCTATTTATAAATACCTTTAGTCTTCCTGTCTGTGATCATGAAGGCCTAGATGTGCCACTGGAGTTCATTTAATCCTTAACTTGTATCATCACTTCCTTGGAGATAAAATTTTAGAGGAACTTTTGAAATTCCTAGTTCTTCAACTTTGAGAACCTGATGAAAACTATCGATCTTTTTTCCAGAAAGACACACTTGCATATTTCATATGCATACACTTGAAATCCATGAGGGATCCCAGGTTAGAGAATCCTGATCTAAAGGTTAAATACTTCTAAGCCTTTTTTCATACCATGACATCCAGAGAAATGATTATTTTAACAGGTTATAATGAAAGGGATTTAGTGAACTATATGGGAGCTATATGGGAGTTGATGAAAAAATTGTTTATTTAATGCAATTATTATGGAAAAAAACATGTTAGAATTTTTAAATATTGAATTTGTATAAGCTTCCAAATACAAATCTTCTCAAAACTGTAATGAAACATCTGAGATTGTTTCTGTAATCATAACTTTTTTATGTAGAGTTTTATGATTGTAATAACTGCATGCAATTCCTGAACAAGACAGCTTCACAGTGATCACTTCAAATTCTTGGTGGCCATTACTAATGACTTAGTTAATTATTAATGATTTTGTTCATTTAAATAGGTGGCAAATTTAAAACAATTTTCATAACAATTCAAAATTTACAATTATAAATTATATTTGATTCTGATAGCTCATAACTTTTTTGCCACTGGCAAACATGATGTGGAAATATCTTGTCAAACTGTGACTGGATTTAGAATCCATTCAAACTTTTTCATATCAAGTATATATTACAGAATAATGATGAAGCTCTAATTTGCAGCATGACTGAGTCATTAAAGCAATGAGTCTGCAACTAACATGGACATAATTAAAAGGGCATATCGGCAATAAAGCAGAAGAATCCGGTAAATATAAAGATAGAGACTGAGGCCTGAGTCCATAAGGCATATCTGCCCTTGACTGCACCCCAAGCTGAGTCCTGCTCGTTGGGCGCTGAGTACCTGTACTCATCCTGCAGCTCTAAAGCTCAGTGTGTATGATGAGAAGCACAGCAACTGACTTTTAAAAATACACCCAAGTGGTAGACTATCCCTTAGCTTTGATACTTTTTAAGAAATATAAGTACTTTAAAACAATTTTTTTGTTATGCATACCACCTGTTGGACCATGGGCCACACTAGAGTGTATCTTTACACTGATTCTTTTGGGTTACTCTCTGAGAATCTGTAATCAAACTGCTTTTGACCAAGGGTGAACTGCCTACAGGCACCAAACACTGCAGTCCTTTCAGGCCACTCTTAGGGTTGAATTGATAGTTATCAAGCAGTACCACTGTTACTCATTTATCTCACACCAAATGAAGTGTGTCACTTAAAAGACTGCAGTTTTATATAACTGAGCTTGTGAAAATAGAGGGGATAAAACAAAATCATGATTTTTGTCCTTAATAGCACTATCTCTTACATATGAAATGACACAGGCATAGTTACAAAGTAATATAGCAAGTATAAATTAATATAGCATAGATGGAATATGTAATAGATAAGAGTGATTAAAGTTTGATTAGAATATATGTTGCTTGCACCTGGTTGTATTTTTTATTAAATTTTAATAATCTTTTACTAGCTGCAGTAGTCAGTGTCCAGATAATATAACTAGATATAAAGTTAAGTAGATCACTGAAAAGCTGAAAAGAGAAATCTGAGATATGACTGAGATAGCAGTTGTTACCACTTTTTTTTTAATTTAAATTTTATTTTTTTATATTCCCCATAAATTACAACCCCCTTATTTTGACCCCAAGCTCTCCTTTCCCCACCCCCCACCCCCCATAGAGTGTCTCTGGTTCATAGTTTTTGTTGATTTTGATTTTTTCTTTCTTACAGTTATTCTTTTTCCTGGTCCCTTATTTAAGTTTTCTAGATTCCTGCTATGAGTGAGACCATCCGGTATATTTCTTTTTCTTTCTGGCTTATTTCGCTGAGCATGATCCCTTCCAGCTCCATCCATGTTGCTGCAAATTGCATGTGTTTATCTTTTTTGAATTCTGAGTAATATTCCATGGTGTATATGTACCATATCTTCTTGATCCAGTCATCTATTTTTGGGCATTTGGGTTGTTTCCAAAGCTTAGCTATTGTTACCACTTTTAAGATTGAAAACAAAGGAAGCAAAGGGAAAAAATGAGCAACACTGCGGAGCTGAGGTGTAGTCCTGAAACACATCTCTGAGGCAAAGGCACTGCTCAACTGGTCTTGGTGTTTCTGAGTTTAGAGGAGGGACTCCATAGGACCCACCATCTGGCATGCAGACCTCTATGGCAAGAACGCTGGTTGACTGGTGTTGGTGTCTTTGAGGCAATAAAAACTACAGGACTGTAGAGAAACTACAGAATGGATTCATCTGTTGCTACAGAAAGACCCTGCTACTACGAGGATGAAGTTGCATTGCTGGATGAAGCACACATGAAAAGACTACAGGAAGTGGTTGTGAGACAGACAGGAGAAACAAGTCTCTTGTCTTTCCTCAGCCTTGAAGTCTCCCTATGGTGCCCTCAAATAGGCACCCAACTAGGAAAAGTTTCACCTTGGTCCTTCATACTACACTGATTCTTATTCCAAAATCAGAGAATGAATATGTTAGATACAGTTATGGTATCTATTCTAAGTATACATACAGGAACTGATGAAAGCACCACAGAGTGCTTCAGTGGACCCTGTAAGCTCACTGTGAGTTAAGACTCTACCTCCTACCTGACTACCACAAGCCCTCACTTAAACTGGTGAATTGCTGTGGCATTTTGGGGTCCAGTAATTAACATTTTTTTCAGTTCCGATGTTTGGAAATACCTAAGGAACCTAGATATTTCTTTTTTGCTAGCACACAGTCATTTTAGGAAATGGCCACAGGTCCTGTGGAGAAGATTTTCAATAAATATTAATGGCAGGGCTTCAGAATTGTTCCTTAAGGACATATATAGCCTTCCCTTCAATTAAGAAGCTTAGGTTTAGAAACTGGATGGAAGGTCACAACTCTCCACTGTGGTGAATATAGTCATATGTTGGCCATCATATGTGGATTTCTTGTATTATGTGAAGATGATCATCAGTTTAGTAGAATGGCCATCTAGTTCATTCCTAGGATCACCATAATCATTTAGTCACAAAAATCCCTGAGCATGAAAAAAATATCTGATTGTTACAGTATTTCACATGGCAAAGGGTTATGGTTAGGGTACTGATAATGTCTGCCAGAGCCTAGGATTAGAGTGAGGGGTAACATTTATGGTACACAATTTACCTTCATTCTCTCTTCCCCCAGCAGACTTCCAGTATTTGCTGGTAAAATTACCTTTCTAAAAAAACCAATTTGATTATATCTGTTTTATGCTTAAATTCACAGAATAAAAGGTTTTGAGGCAGCTATTTTTCAGTGTTGGAGTCTTTTGTCTCCAAAGGCAGTACTTTTGGTTTATTCAACTTACATGTGTTAAGTTAATAAAAAGAAAATCGAGTATTGTAGCATGTTATACCACTTCAAACTAAGTAGCCCCTAAATTGTAACTGCCCTGGAAGCCATATATATAAAATTTACTTTTTACATAAAACCTAGCCTAAATACACACAACTAATTACATGATTTTTGGCAAGGCGGTGATTTTCATAATCTGTGATTCTGTGGTCATTTGCATTAAAGTGGGGATGTTACTTATTGTAATTCTTTCATATGGATAAATATATCATAATCCCTTTAGAACTCTCCCTCAAAAAATGCTTTTTAGCATAGTTATTACTATAATGCCTGCCTTTCTTACATGAATCAGGTAGCCATCAAAGTTTCATTTCACTTCAACTTGGTATTTCAAAAATTAACATGTCTGATAATGTTTTTGAACATTCCGTTGCAATACTGTTGTTATTTGTTTCTTTTAATGATAATAGGTAACTATTACTATGGTGAGTTTTCCTGTCTCCTTGAGCACTAGCCTGGTGCGTAATAGTTTTGGTCAGTAACAACAGTAATAAGAGTAGTACAGTTTGAAAAGATTGGCAGTTGAGAATTTATTATCATTCAATAGAATGGTGGGGTTCAGTGGGGGTAGGGGTAGAGAGAGATTTGATCTTTCTTGGTATTTTTTGTTGTTTATTAATATTGTCATTCTCTCTTTTTGTTATTAGTACTGGTCTGGTAATACCTTTCCCTACCATTTAGTGATAACTTTCAGTGGTCCAGATGAGTGAGTCAGCATTTCAAGAGGAAGACACATCTGCTCAGGTACATGACCTTCATAGGTTTCTAGCTATTTATGAAATGATTTAAGATTTAGCATTCTTAGAAAAATCAAGATGCAATATCATATTCTGTCATTAGTTATTTCTCTTTTTAGGTGAAGTAGTCTGCATCAGCTTTTGGCAAAAGTGCAGAAAAAGGGGGTCTACTAGTCGTTGGATCACAGTGGCCTACTTCCATTGATAGGCTCGGTTCCAGTATCACTTATATAAAAAATCTATTACTGTTTGGATTTACTAACACAGCTGCTTTGTGTGATTTTATTTAGTGTGATGTTTATTCATTATGAAAACTTTTTAAAATAAATAGCTTGTTATACCAGAATATAAAATAATTAGTTTAATCTCTAGCTCCTTTTGGATACCACTTATTAACACAGTTTCCATTTCAGGAAAATGGGAATGAAAGCAAAGAATGGCAATCAGAAGTAACTGAAGAGGAAGAGCCTATTGAGGTAAACTTGTCAAGAATAGTCAGATATTTATCCTAGAGAGTAAACTGGACAAATTATTTTCTTTTTTTTTTTTTAAAGATTTATTTTTATTTATTTATACAAGCACTGGGTACAGTCAGAAGTGCGGGAGGGTGAGAGAATTCACCAGAGCCAGAGCGGGGAGCAGAGCAGACAGAAGGACCAAAGTACACTGCTGAGGGGAGCAGCGGGCGGCAGGAGAGGTCTGCGAGCCATGCAGGACCCTCCTCTGGTGGCCGGGGAGCAGCCGGGGATCGAACCGGCGCTGCAGAGGCTGCGGGCAGCTTCGCAACCCAGCGCTCAACCGCTGAGCCACCGGGGAGGCCCACAAATTAATTTTCTTATGAAGAAGGAAAATAAAATGTCGGGATTCAAAAAGATTAACAAATGGCATATGGAAAGGGCAAACTCATGTTGATCATTATGCTGACTCATTTGATTCAATTGTAGTAAGTATCCATATATAGATAATTATTTGAGAAGAGCTATTATGAATTCTAGATAAATAAAGGTTGCTTTCTAAAATCAGGACTGTTAACCTAAGTACAGTAAACACTGATTTTTAGGGAAACTTCATGTCATTCTGTAAATATAATTTCCATGTTAATTAGTAATTTTATGTTTAAATTTACATTTATGTTTAAATTTATGTTTAAATTTATGTTTAATTTTTCTTCTATAGAAAAGGAGAGGCAATTAAAATAGCTATATGAATTCACCATTAAGTTGACTAAAGTGAATCATAATAATATTTTATTATCATTCTTTTAAAAGTACATCATCATGAATACAAAAGTTATTTTGCCATTTATTCATAAAATTACTGTTTAATTTTCTCAATTAAGATGAAAATGTTTTTCTTTCCACCACAAACATGGAAGGTGATTCTAAAAACAAATCTACATTTTCAAAAGTGTGATTCACTGTGGTCTCAAATTATGCTGTGGTCTCAAATTATATTTCTAGAAAGTATTGTATAATTCAAAGATTAATGTACATCTTAGCATATTACTTTGTTAGCAGTAGGAAGATATGATGATATGTTGAACCAATGCATTTTATTTTGTGAATGCAATAGGCTGTGATTACTGCTTTTCTTTTAATACACAGCATTAAATCTTAGCAAAATTAAGTAGGGATATTTGGTTATTCCTATAGGGCATTTATATGCAGTCTTTATCTGAGAGATTTGATAAAATGTTGAGGAAAGGCAACTAATTTTACCTATTTGCCTCTTTCCTTTATCCTTTCAGGATTCACAAAGTGTACCAGACAGTTCTGTGCTGGATATTGGGAGCAAAGTGGCAGAAAATGCAGCTGATGAAATCCAGTCCCCAGGTAGAAACCTACCTTTTCCTCTACACAACAAAATTTAAAACTAATAAATTTGAAACTAATTTATTGGGAATTCATTCATGAAGATTTTACTTTCTAAAAATGTAAGCTTTGGAAACAACCCAAATGCCCAAAAATAGATGACTGGATCAAGAAGATGTGGTACATATACACTGTGGAATATTACTCAGCATTCAAAAAAGATAAACACATGCAATTTGCAGCAACATGGATGGCGCTGGAAGGGATCATGCTCAGCGAAATAAGCCAGAAAGAAAAAGAAAAATACCAGATGGTCTCACTCATAGCAGGAATCTAGAAAACTTAAATAAGGGACCAGGAAAAAGAATAACTATAAGAAAGAAAAAATCAAAATCAACAAACAACTATGAACCAGAGACACTCTATGAGGGATGGGGGTGGGGAAAGGAGGGCTTGGGGTCAAAATAAGAGGGTTATAATTGTATGGGGAATATAAAAATAAAATTAAAAAAAATAAATAAATTTCAGCTGAGAAAAATGAAAAAAATAAAATAAAAATGTAATCCTAAGCAAATAAATAAATAAATAAATAAATAAATAAATAAATAAATAAATAAATAAATAAAATCCTAGGGATAGTTAAAAAACAATTTGGGAAATAGTTTAAAATTTAATCCTTTCAACTTCTACTAATACTTTTGAGGCAATTTTAGCACTATTCATAAGGTAATTTAAAGAAAAAATTTAGCTAAGAGAGCTTAAACATAGCAGACAACCCATTAATACAAAAATAAGAGGGAGAGCCCTAATGATTTGCCTTCTTACTTTTCTGTTTCTTCTTTTTATCCTATACTTGACCACACATTTATCCTGTTTGACTTCTAGTCTTATTCCGAAGCCAAATCCCATATCACTATGCAGACTGAAATAGTAGAGGACCAAAAAGGCAATAAATAAATTGACAAGGCATTCATCCTTTTCAATGCAGTTCTTCTAACTTTCTCTATGTGGTGCAAACCTATATAACAGAAATTCTTTACAACATCTTAAATTTTAACAATTTCAATTAATTGAAATTTCCTGCAATTCAGTTTACAGATAGTGAGAGTCTAATATTGCTAGATCTTGCGTGTGGCTGAATTACAGTAGCAATTATTAAAGTGTTTTCTAAACTATAAATTGCTATCTTGATGCTAGTTGTAACTTTTAGGGTCTTACCTTTCTCCAAAGTGTTTTTTCTGCCCTTTAAACCAATTAAAATCAATTATTTACTATTTCGTTTTTCACTCTTGTATTTTTTTTTTCTTACATTGTTGTTCATTTTTGTATAGTATTTGATTTCTCCACTCAGGTGTAGTCCCCATAAATATCCCACCACCAACACATCGTCTGTGGACCATCACCATGGTCCCTTGTGCTAGTCTACCCCTGTTTTGATCCCTCTGGCTCCCTCTCCCCTACTGTAAGCCTCAGATCTAAAGTAGCCTACAAGTTTTGTCTTTTTTTTTTTTTGACCCTTTGTTCAGTTTCCCTATATTCCTCCTATAAGTGATGTCATCTGATAATATTTCCTTTTCCTTCTGATTTATTTTACTGAGCATAATCCCTTTACTATTTCTTATTAACACACATAAAATAATATATACTCATTGAGAATCAAACTTTCTAGTTTTTACTCTGTCTTTATTATCATAGCTTTACTAACTTTTCAAATTTCTTGGGAAGTCCCTCTTGCCCCAATGCTTCCAATCCCCACCAGCTTCTTAATTTTAATTCCTCCACACCCCCACCCTCTACCTCCACTATTCCATACACACACACACACACACACACACACACACTAATAGCTATATAATGAGTGAGTCTGTAAATGAATCAATTTATCTGTAAAAAGTTTAGGAATATTCAAATACACTCCTGTTAAATATACTCAATACCTGTTTGAAACTATGTTCAACTGACCTGAACTAATTTGCCCTTGGACTAGTGCTATAATTTATGATCCTTGAATTCAAAGATCATTCAATCAAAAGACAGCTTCAGATAGTCTTGTTCAGCATCCTAACTTATTAACCCTGCTATTGCTGTGTTTTCTTTTCTTTTCTTGGTTTTATGACTAAGAAAGAAGTATTGGGCTAGAGTTGTAGCCAAATGTCTTCTTTCATTCTGCATATCAGTGGAGACTATGCAAGCACTAGCAATATTGCTTAGCGACCCATTATAACCAACAACACTAGAGGAGCACTAGCAGGCTGTGGCGAAGATGAGAATGTCCCAGTTCTTGTGCAAGTTTATTAATGAGCCATGGCAGATGGTAGATATTAAGTTACTATACATCTATAGAATTACCCGTAAAGTAGAAGGAATAATATCTACCTTAGGTTATACAGGACCAGTTAAAAGCAAAGCAAGTACATTAGTAACTGTAGACTTAAAAGAATGTCTCTCTTTCACATTTATATGAAATGGAAATAAAAGCATTCTATATTACTAAGCATGGTGGCAAAACAGAATGAAACTATCCTCCCAAAGTGGTTAATTTGCAAATCCAAATGAGAGGTTTGGGAGAGTATTACATTATCCTCCTTACCTCCCTATATAAAAAAAAAAATCAAGAAGGAAATAAAAACATGGAAGGGAGTTTCATAAATTCTATCCACAGTTGAACCTAAGACATTCTTTAGATGAAATGTCTTTTCAAGTGTTCCTTTACAGACTACTTAATTTTTTTCCTGGATGAATACTATCTGGTAAGATTTTCAAATTTTCTTCAGAGTATTTTCAATAAAACCGAAAATTTTTTAATAAAATTAAAAGAATCTTAAGCTATATATGGATCGCTCTCCCAAAATGAGAATGGATAAATACATGCAATTTAGCCATATGTTAAAATTATAAAGCACTGGGCCTCCCTGGTGGTGCAAGGGGTTAAGACACAACCTGTGAAGCTATCCACAGCCACTGCAGCATGAGTTTGATCCCTGGCCAGGGAGCTACACACATGGCGCAGCAGACCTCTCCTGACACACCCGCTGCTCCACTCAGCAGTATATTTCAGTCTATCTGCCTGTTCTGTTCCCCACTCTGTCTCTGGCGAACCCTCTCACCCCCCACATCTCTGGCCTGTACCCCAGTTCTTGTATGAATAAATAAATTTAAAAAAATTATGAAGCAGTGAAAATTAATGAACTCAGATGTGTTGCATTTATTAACTAGATGAATTTCACAGACATAATATAAATATAAAAAGGTTACAGAATATAAAATATGAAATAATTTTTATAAAATTTAAAAGCAAGAAGGGCCTCCCCTGGTGGCGAAGCGGTTGAGCGCTGGGCTGCGAAGCTGCCCGCAGATTCTGCAGCGCCGGTTCGATCCCCGGCTGCCGGCGAGAGTCCCACATGGTGCGCAGACCTCTCCTGCCATGCCCGCTGCTCCCCTCAGCAGTGTACTTCGTTCCTTCTGCCTGTTCTGCTCCCTGCTCTGGCTCTGGTGGATTCTCTTACCCTCCCACACTTCTGACTGTACCCAGTGCTTGTATAAATAAATAAATAAATCTTAAAAAAAAATTAAAAGCAAGAAGAACAATATTATGTTGTTTTGACACATGTAAACAAATGCAGATAAATGATATACATGGAATTCATAGTTGTGTTTCTATCAAAAGTAGGGGTATATGTGAGACTTTAATATATAGATAATTTTTTAAGCTTAGAGAAGATAAATTGCTACTTATGTAATGATTATACTTACAGGTATTAAGTATTTCATAATAATGTTCAAAAAACTCTATGCCAGTTATGTTCTCTTGCCCATTTATTGTATGAGTACTATTTATTGAGAGTTACTACTAACTGAAATATGACTCACAATTACTATCCAGGTTATGTTAAAAGTAATGGGTATAAAAATACTAAACTGTTGATACGTCTATTGATACATCTTCTCAGTGGTCATGTCAGAAAAAAACCTTAAGATTCCCATTAAGTTTTTCATTCCAGTCATACCAACAATCATGTATGTGGTTTTAAAAAAGCATCTGATAGTTTATTGCTCAGAACCTGATCTAACTCAGTCCTGGAAATCCAGAGACAAACTGTCACAGATCATCTACCCCCTAGCTGCACTGGTGGTACTTCCCTCCCCCCACCCCAGTGCAAGCCAGCCCTGAGGCTCTGATGGCAAGGCTTGTCCAGCTCAGCACCAGCCAAAGGAGAGAGGCCTGCAACGAGTCAGGCCAATATGGTGGACTCTGAGCAGTGGCCTGTGCTCCAACTGCTCAGACCTGTGTCCCAGCTTTGCTGGGGGTGGGGGGAGTCCCACACCCTTGCACTGCCACATCTGGCCCTGCTGAAACACACTGGGTGCAGCAAGCATCTCTCCCTGCTGAGGCAGCTCCAGCTATGACTCCCCTGTCCCCACCTCTGAGGAGCCTGCCCTGACCTCAGTGTAAGTCAGGTCTGGATAAGTGTCCTGGATTTCACTTTTGAATATGGTGCAGGTTCGAGCTCACACAGGTGCCATCAAGGTTTTTTTGAGACCATTGAGGATTGAAAATGGAACAATCAGATTGGTACTTGACAGGCACCAACCAAAGAGCTAAGATTGTAAGTGGTCCAGTCGGGCTTAAAAGGTGGGGACCCTGAAGAGGATATAAGCCAAAGGATCAGCCAGCTTGATTTATTCATCAGATGGCTTCAGAAGAGTTGGATTGAGCAGAAGACTGCAGACCCATTCAACAGGCCTTTCGCTGGCAGATTCATAGGAACTTTGAGACTTCTCTAGATCTTTGTGGACTTTCAACCTCTGGGACCTTTGCAGAGACCTGGCCACTGCATCTGCCTCTGACATCGCCTGTAGAGAGCACCATTGACCAGGGCCTGGTATCTAAAGTGCTGTTTGCTGTTGACTTAGGCCAATAGCTCTCAAAGAGCTGTAACATTGGTGTCTTCAGTACTGCCACCTGGTGACTGGTGCTGGCCAGCACGATTTACCTGTGACTGGCACTGCTGACTTGTGAGAGCTGTCCTCCACTTCTGATCATCTGGCAGATAATCCTGGTGCTGATTGCCTCTAGCACTATCAAGTCCTATCTGGTACTGTCCAGCTCAATCTTCATACTGTTGTTGTGGGATATGGTGGTGTCACCTTGGCAACCCCATCTGTGACCAGCTCCAGAAGCCACTCTGAGTTGAAACCTGGCCCACTGCTTACCAAAGTCCACTGCTTACCAGTTCCAGGCCCTTGTTGAAGGGGCATTGCCATTCTGCATGTGCAGCCTCTGTTTTGGACTACTGGACACTGCAGACACTATCTGGGCTAGGTCAGCCAGCCATTTGTGGCCTTAGAAAACTCTTTCCTTTTTCCTAATCTTGCCTTTGTTAATAAACCCCGTTGTCACTGCACCCTGAACCTAAGTGGTATCTGGCAGTTGCGACCACATGAATGAGAACCCACAAACAGTGACTTGTCCCCCACCTTGTCACTGCCACTGTCTTAAAACTAGTCAGTTCTGCTGGAATAACTTACACAGTTTGTGTACGAATACTTATTTCATTCCACAAAAGTTAGAGACTTGAGGGAATATTCTCAGTATAGGGTAGGAAACATCTTATCTCATTCAAGTCTATTATATATTTTAATATCAGTATGTCATAACTTCTCAGACCCTGAGGACCATTGTTTAATATCTCCTCTAGGTTCTACTTTCCTTTCTACATTGGCTTCTGCCTTTTACTTTCTATATATATCCTACCTTTAAAGAAAAACCCTCTCCTTCACAATCACATTCCCAAAGTAATTGTCCACTCATCTAGTTTGCATTTTGCCTCCACATCCTTCCTCAACCTAGTGCAGTCTAAGTTCCATTCTCATCACAGAAATTGCTCTCCTTTGAGTTAGAAAAACTGGGTGCTAGTTTCAATTTATACTTTCTATTTCTTCTATCATTTTATTTTTCTGTAGCATTTTACACATTGACCCCTTCCTCTGAGGTAATGCATTTTGTTTTCGTCTGCCCAACATCTCTTTGTGGAGCCGCCCTTCTCTCTTACTTAACCTATTTGGTTTATTTGGGGTTGACCCTACCTCTTCAGATCCAGAAATGGGTGGTGATTCTAATCTCACCAATCAGAATGCTACCCCTTCAATGCTGTCAATAGTTCAGAAATAGAAATATAATTTATGTCAAGTCAACTAAAAAGTTCCTAGATTTTTTCAAGCTGGAATTTTAATGACTGATTTTTAGGAAATCAATGGTTATAAGGGATATAAATCTAAAGATGCTCTGACCATTTTTATCAACATGTGAGGACAACCCGCCTAAAAATTAATTCAACAGAGCAAAGCAGACACTAGAGGTAGATTTCAGCTGTACCTAAAAACCAGACTTTCCATCTATATAAATTAATACATTCCAGTTTTAATTTAATCCTTGTGAGATGGATTTCTATTGCTGGAGAATGAAAGAATCTCTAGTAATCTATCCTTCTTGAAACTCTAATTTTGTTTTCTATGATTCTAATCTCTCCTATTTTCTCCTGACTCCCTAGTCATACTCAGAGTCCTTTATGTGTTCTTTTTCTGCCCATTCCTAAATATGTAGTAAAAAATTCATTTTTTGGTCCTCTTCTTGATACCAAGCCAAGAGGCTTGCTGTCTGGTGTACATAAGATCAATGTTGTGACAATGACATTTTGAAAAAAGAAAGGGCTTGTTTGCAAATCAGCTGGCAATAAGACCAGAATTAAAACTCGAATATGCCTTGCATTCAGGGAAAAGGGAATGGGTTTATACTGATTTTGGGGGGAACCAGGTCAAGAACAGAGGAGTTAAATTTTATTGGCTAAGGGGCAGGCTAAGGACAAAGTAATGTAGACATGGTTAAAGTCCATTAGATAGTTACAAATCACCCCATGTGGGGAGAGGCTCTTTACAAATGACTAGATTTTCCTGGAGAATAGACCCCTTATTTCTAAATGTGGTCTGAGTGGTAACTTTTTCTTGCCTTAATGGTTCTATAAGTTAATTTAAGATCAATTACTTCAACTACATGCATGCTGTATGACTCACTGTCTAGCATCATACTCTATTGTGTCTGTGAAGGTAAACTCAAAAGATAGTTAACGAGGGCCTCCCCGGTGGCGCAGCGGTTGAGCGCTGGGTTACGAAGCTGCCCGCGGCCTCTGCGGCGCCGGTTCGATCCCCGGCTGCTCCCTGGCCACCTGAGGAGGGTCCCACATGGCGCGCAGACCTCTCCTGCCGCCCGCTGCTCCCCTCAGCAGTGTACTTCGGTCCTTCTGCCTGCTCTGCTCCCCGCTCTGGCTCTGGTGAATCCTCTCACCCTCCCGCGCTTCTGACTGTACCCAGTGCATGTGTAAACAGAACAAACAAACAAAACAAATAAATAAAGAAATAAACATGCCTCTATAAAAAAAAAAAATTAAAAAAAAAAAGATAGTTAACGATGCCCAACTTTCCTCCTGACAGCCTATAAATCACAGTTTCATTCTAACACAAGAAACTCTGAGTGAGCTCCTTCAACCATAGTAATAACAGATTTTAAGGACATGTATAGTTTTCTCATCTCGACTATCCTGCTAAGTATAGTTACTATATCCATTTTACAGAAGTAGAAGTTGAGTTTGAGGTATTGGGTTATTTGTTTTAAGTCACATGGATAGTAATGTTAGAGTTAGAATTCGACCCTGGCATTTCTGATTCCAATGTCCAATCCCATGCAGATACTAAGGGACAATTGTGTATTAAACACATACCACAATCTTTTCTGTCAGTTCTGGAGATTTTGGTGTCTGTTCTTAGCACAGTATCTTGATCTAATACCTCCATCCTGCATTCAAAAAATGAAAGAGGCTGGAAATATTAGGCTGGGGAAAATATGTTTAAATATACACGTGTAGTTGACTCTCTTCATTACCAGTTGAGCAGAACTTTCCCCACTTTTTGCCTGATACAGTGAATCTTAATTTTGTAGCAGATGAAAGTCACTGATATCAGAGAAGTTGGTCAAAACCCTGACATGAAGGAATATATTATCATTGATCAAAACATTATGCAGTCTGCTTTCCCTTTATCAGTGATTGGTCTAGAGGGATCATGTAACCTAATTAGGGTCAATGAAGTGTAAAGGAAAGTCTTGGAGTGGGAAATCTGGGATCTCCTCTTCTTAGAGAATAAAATAGAACTTCAAGAGGAGAGGGTTCCTTTGTTTACAGTTCTTTTCTCCTGTAAAGAAGTGACTCCTGGGGCCTCCCTGGTGGTGCAAGGGGTTAAGACACAACCTATGAGGCTGTCCACAGCCACTGCAGCACGAGTTTGATCCCCCAGCCAGCCAAGGAGCAGCCCACATGGCGCAGTAGACCTCTCCTGACTCACCCGCTGCTCCCCTCAGCAGTGTATTTCCGTCAGTCTGCCTGTTCTGTTCCCCACTCTGCCTCTGGTGAGCCCTCTGACCCACTGCACCTCTGACCTGTACCCCAGCTCTTGTATGCATAAATAAATATATTTAAAAAAAAATAAAGACGTGATGTCTGGAAGTGCAATAGGTATATTGTGATTGTGAAGCATAAACACAAAACATGAATGAAGAACAATAGAAATAGTGTAGCTTCTTAAAACACCAAACTGCTGAATGATTTCCCATTAAGTCAAAGATAAATGTCTATATGGTTGAAGTCACTGTTGTCTGATTTTCTCTCACTTTCAGATGGTGTTCCAATATAGCATGCAAATGGGTGTAAAAAATGTTTTTTCTAAAAATATTGGAAGTGTAGATTAAAGTGTACTTCTAGTATTTCTGACATTTCACTTTTTTCCCTCCAGAATCAAACATTGAGGGGGAACTAAAAAACCAAAGTGACTCAGTAGAGGACTCTAACACTGGCATCTCAAAGAATATTGTGATTAGAAAACCTGCAAAAGTGATTTTCAATTTAGATGAAACTGTACTGACACCAACCCTAGAACCACCATGGAAGAAAAATCTTCTTGAAAGAATAGAGGCAAGAGCCCAGGCAATGCAGCAGAAAATAATAGATAAGGATAATATGAAGAAGGAATTAAAAAACAAGGCTGAAAAAAAGCTACCTAGGGATGATTTGGCCAGAGAATGGTTTAATACTGATAACATGACCCTGAATACTCGTGCATATTTGCTTGACAAACTTCTACCCACTTTAATTCCTGGAGTGGAAAAAATGTTAATGCAAGTAGAAAAGAAGACTCTTTTGGAGAAAGCCGACATTCCAACAAAGTTTGATCCAATTAATTATTTGGGGGAATACTTAATGAGAAACAATCCTTATTATATCAAAGACTCAGGAATGTCTGGATATCAGAGGGTGATGAAAGATGTCACAGAACACCTGAAGATACATGTTCCCAACACTATCAGCAACAGGTAACAGTTTGTTATATATTGAGTTGATGATCTCATTTCTTACATTGAAAAGCAAGTGGAGTATAATCACATACACAGGACTTACAGTAAGTTATTTTATAGTATTTGTTGAACTCTGTGCCTAACTAGTTATAAATCACTGAACACTAATGATGTATATTTAGTTCCATGTATTCATGCATTTAGGTAAGTTACTGGGATCCTAAGTGTGTGTGAATGTGTGTGTGTGTGTGTGTGTGTGTGTATTTTTTTCTGTCTCCCTGCTGAAAAGTAAGCTGTAAGAGAGGAGGGATTTTAAAAAATGTTAACTTTACAGGTAGATAAAACCAGAATGTGTAGAGTTATACAATAAAAAGCATCTCTTCCATTTTTATCCTCCATCTATTCTACTATACCTCCAACATAGATAATCACTGTTCTTAGTTTTCAGTAGATCCTTCTAGCGTTTCTTTATGTATACATAAGCAAATGAGAATATGGATTCTTACTTTTCTTTCTTTTATACAAAAGTGTGTGAATGAATTACAACTATTTTTCTGTTTTTCATCTGCCATTTATCTTTTGTCATGCAGAAAATTTTTTACTTCTGTATGTTTGAATTTATTTTATGGATTCTGGATTTTAAGTCATTGTTACATTTTAATATAATTAGAGAATCCCCCCATGTCTCTTGTGAAGTTATTATTTTAATAATTGATCCATTTGGAATTTAGAGTGTGTGTAAGATATGAATCCATTTTTTTCTTTTCTAAATGGCTACATAATTATCCAAATAAGAATTGCTGAATAATTTATCTTTGCCCCACTGTTTTGAGATGAACCATGTGTTTTGGAGTATATTTCTATACTTTCTATCCTATTCTATTGGTCACTCTCTATTCATGCACCAGCAGCACACTGCTTTAATTATTGAAATGGTTAAATATATTTCAATAAATCTGACTGCTGACCCCTATTATTTACCCTTCTGTTTTCCTGATCTTTTCTATCTTTCCTTATGTGTTTGCTTTATAATATGAGCTATTTGGAAATAAATAAATTCCACTTGGTTGCTATTTATTTGGTTACATTGAAATATGCTTCCTTCTAATAAGAGAATAAATTTTAATTATTTCCTTTTAGTTACATATTGTCTATCTATCTATCTATCTATCTATCTATCTATCTATCTATTGATCGATCGATATCTATCTACCTATCTATCCATCTATCTCTGTCTCCAGTAGTATTGGATGAAAGATTTTTCCCCTTTTTTGGGAAGGCTTCTTTTTGTGTGTATTATTATGGATGCATGGGTTTTAATATCTATTCAATATATTTTCAGCCACTGTAGTCTTTTCTTTTTGATGCTCAAGTTGACCCAATCTTGTATTCCTCTGACTTTGCTCCTTTAGTCTTGGAAAGAGTCATGCTTTTTTTTTTTTTTTTAAAGAATTCTTAGTTCCTTCCAATGGGGATCACTCATTTGGGAGCTAGTGCAGCTCGTAAATATTGTAGTTTCATTACTTCTAGGCTTTATCAGGGCTAACAATATAGTTTTTAAGAATAGGGGTTCATGTTGACAATTACATATCAAATATAGTGTTATATAGGGTTTTACCTAATTTCTTGATTTTGTGTTTGTATTTTTTTTCTTATGCTAAAAATCTTGATTCCTAACAACATGGACAGAATTACTTATTTGTTTCGTCCTACAATTAACATGAAGTAGCTTCAAAATAACATAGAGGCGAGCTTATTAATAATAGAGCTACTAAATGAGGCTTCTGATTTATTTGTAGCTTTTTGTTCTTAGAATATATCCTAAGCATATGTATGTAAAAAGCTGAAACCACACAAACCCAGAAGAAACAAGGAGCTAAATTCCTTATAACTAGAAAAAAGCCTTTGTAGCCAGGGCTCAAAATCATGAAACTATTGATAAATATTAGCAATCAGTTAGCAATCAAACTCTTTTGCTTAGAAAATTTAGTCATAATTACTCAGTTCTGCTAATTGTAGTATAAAAGTTGTCATAGACAATATGAAATGAATGTGTATGGCTTTGTTCTAAGGAAACTGTTTATGAAAACAGACAGCAGGCTCAGATTTGACCCTCTGGCTATAGTTTGCTGACCCCTGATCTTCCAGATCTATAAAATAAATAAGACACTTTGAATCTTTGAATCTCTGAGTCTCTTCTCAACTCTCCATATTTTCTTTTGAATATATATTGGCCTGGAGACTAATACCAAAATTTACAAAGAAATCCAATTAGTGACTTGTTTTAGTATGTGATTTTGCAAAACTGTTAAGGAGGTTAATTTTGTGTCATTTTGCTTTTCTTCAGATTTTCTTTCCTTTTAGCATCTTTCTTTTAATGTCTTTTCCCTTTAGCTCTTGATTCCTCCAGTGCTTGGGATATATATTTTATAAGTTGCTACTGCCTTACTATGAATTGATAATAAAAAATATTTGCTCTTAAAATAGAATTACAAACTTTTAATAACCTGCTTGTGGTGATATTTACATATTGCAGAGAAGCAGAGCCTATTATAGTATAAATATCTTTCTTCACCAGATCTGATGCATAGTCCCCATCTTAGAATGAGAGTGCAAATGAACCAGGAAATAGATCTAAGAGAACCAAGGCAAAAATTTGCATTTTTTTTTCCTTTGTGGCAGTTGTAGTATTTATATCTGGTTCTGGCTCGGTAATGATCTCTGTCCCCTACCTCTGTTATATTTCATAATCATTATGGAGTCTAATTTCATTATCACAACACGATATGCTGGGTATCTCAGATCTAGTGTCTTCAAACATCAAGATGATCTTAAGAATGAGGGTTTCCTATTTCCAAATGAGATGGTTGAGTTTCAATTTAGTCACTTAGCTGAGGGCTAAGAACAAGAGAGAGATAACCACAGTAAGAATATTCCTCACTGGAAGGCTGGGAAGCACCAATTTGGATGGTGTAGGACTGAGATACGGCAGAGGATATATAAACCAAAGTAGTGCATGTAAGGTTTTCAGTGTGTTCTCTTCTATAAACAGAAAAAAAAAATCCTGTCTTCTTTGGAGGACATCAGTTGCTGGATAGAATTATTTGGAAAATCCTAGGAGTTTCTGGACATCTTGAATAGTCTTAAGTGTTAATGCTGTAGGACCATCAACTCTCATCAGGAATTATGCCAGATATCCAGCCTTAACTGAAGTGGTTGCACCAGTTTGCACTCCCACCAGTAGTGCAGGAGAGTTCCTTTTTCTCCACATCCTCACCAATATTTGTTGTTGCTAGTTTTTTTAATATGTGTCATTCTCACTGATGTAAGATGGTATCTCGTTGTGGTTTTGATTTGCATTTGCCTGATTATGAGTGATGTTGAACATATTTTCATATGCCTGTTGGCCATTTGCATTTCCTCTTTGGAGAAGTTTCTTTTTAGCTCTTCTGCCCATTTTGTTGGACTGGGTTATTTGTTTTTGTTAAGTCGCATCAGCTTTTTGTAGATTTTATTTATTTATTTATTTATTTATTTATTTATTTATTTATTTATTTATTTATTATAGAGGCATGTTTTATTTATTTATTTGTTTGTTTGTTTGTTTGTTTTTTGTTTATGCATGCACTGGGTACAGTCAGAAGCACGGGAGGGTGAGAGAATTCACCAGAGCCAGAGCGGGGAGCAGAGTGGGCAGAAGGACCGAAGCACACTGCTGAGGGGAGCAGCGGGCGGCAGGAAAGGTCTGCGTGCCATGTGGGACCCTCCTCCGGTGGCCGGGGAGCAGCCGGGGATCGAACCGGCGCCACAGAGGCCGCAGGCAGCTTCGCAACCCAGGGCTCAACCGCTGCGCCACCGGGGAGGCCATTTTTGTAGATTTTTGTGATCAGTCCCTTATCATTAGTATTGTGTGTGAAAATTTTCTCCCAATCAGTGGGTGTCTCTTTGTTTTGGTTAATGTCTCTTTTGCTGTACAGAAGCTCTTTAATTTGATGTAGTCCCAGCTGTTTATCCTTTCCTTCACTGTCATTGCTTTGGCTAATGTATCTTTAAAGATGTTACTGAGGTGTATGTCATGTAGTGTTTTGCCTATATTTTCTTTTATATATTTTTTTGGTTTCAGTTCTTATGTTTAGTTCTTTAATCCATTTTGAGTTGGTTTTTGTGCATGGTGTGAGGTAGTAGTCAAGCTTCATTCTTTTGCATGTAGCAGCCCAGTTTTCCCAGCACCATTTATTGAACAAACTTTCTTTGCTGCATTGCATATTTTTTACTCCTTTGTCAAAGAGTAGCCGACTGTAAATCTGTGGGTTTGTTTCTGGGTTTTCTCTATTCGCTATAACTATGTCATCAACTACAGTGCTTGGCATGTTTTGGGGCTCAATAAATGTTTGTTAAATGAATGAATTAGTAACTTAAATTTATTAAAGAGTCTGTACTAAGTCAATCAGTATTTATTGCGTAACTACTGAGTACTCAATGTTGAGCCATCCCTCTATAGGGAAATTATTTAAATCTGCTCTTAACTTCATTTTACCTATAACTGAAGTGATTTTTAAAAAATTAATCTTACCATGTTGTTCCCATAGTGAAACCTTCCAATGGTATCCTTCTACTTTTAGGATAAAGATCAAAATCCTTCACTAGCCCAAAAAGACCTTCCTTATATGACCTGGTCCCTGACTCCTTTTTTCCTTTTTTGAGGTAACATTGGTTTACAACACTGTATATGATTTAGGGGAATAGGTTCACGTCTCTTCAGATGTATGTTACCATACCATCCCCTTCATCAAAGCACCATAATCCTTTTATTTAGGTAATTGAGCCCCTACCCCATTTTCTCCTATCTCCACCTTCCCTCTCTGGCAGCCTCAATTCTGCAGTCATTTCCAGTTATTTTTTAAATTTATTTTCTTACATAACTGTTAATTTTTGGATAGCATTTGATTTCTCCTCTCAGGTGTAATCCCCATAGTTCTTCCACCACCAAAGCACCCTGGGGTTTGTTTTGGTTTAGTTTTGTCCGTTCCTTTGTTTTGTTTCTCTGTATTCCACCTATGAGTGAAATAATTCGGTATTTGTCTTTTCATTCTGACATATTTCTCTTAGCGTAATTCCCTCTAATTCCATTCATGTTGCTCTGACTTTCTAGCCCTCACTCCAGCCTCTTTCCTTCTTACACTCTATGCACTAGGAATACAAGATAATTGTATAACATAAATTAGACATACCACGGCTTTTTTCTACCTCAGGATGTTTACATATGCCATTCCCTCTGTCTGTATCACTACTTACTGTTTACCTTATCCTAACAATCCTTTAGAGTTCAATTCAAACACAACTTCATTGTTAAAATTAGGTTGGGACGGTCCTTTATTTTCGCTCATCAAATCTGTATTTCTGTGTTTCTCTTTCGTTACACTTATTACAGTTGTAATAAAGTCTCTCTGTTATAATGTAATCAGAAAACTGTATCTGTCATATTCACCATTCACTCTGCAACACCTATACTGTGTTGTGTGAGTAATGTTCAATAAATATTTGTTAGATGAATTGACTAACCTAATCTGACATTGGCCCGCATGATGAAAATTTTCTTGCGTTTTTTATTTTGTTTTGCTTTTAGTTAGTTAAGAGTATTATGAGATATGTCTTAGAGTGAGGTAATTGAGTATTTAATTTTGAAGTATCTGGAATGAATCATTATTTAGTGGGAGGCTGTGATAAATATTCTTCACCATTTTATAATATTCCAAATTGACTAATTATCTATTTAAACATCTTGTCATTAGATTTTTCTTGTCATGATGTTTTTTATCAGGAACATCATTTCATATTATATATGTTAAATAAACAAAAAGAAAATAAGTAGTACAGTGATTTAGGAGATACATATCATGTGTGGATTTTTATAGTAACACTCATCAAAGGAATCATGTGCGCGTGTTTCAGAAATATTTAGCTTTGTGAAACTATAAAGAAATTACAGAAACTGAATTTATTAACTTGTCAGGCAAGGGACTATACACTAGGGGAGAATTCATTGAATTGTTTGCAGAGGGGAGGAAATTTCAGGGAATTTTAAATGTTAGATAGGAGCTGAAAACTTTCACACTGTATAGGATAGAGTAAGTTGAGTGAATTGGTTTGTATATGGCTGATTAAAACAAGTCCTGTTGTTTAACAGTCAAGAAAGAGTCTTCTGCTAGATCCAGTAATTGCCTCATATTTTGGAGTCACTCAGAGTTCGTGTTCAATTATCTACTTTAGCTAGTTAGAATCTCTTTTGAGGAAACACAAAATTCAGTTTTGATATAACCTAGAAAGATACTGCAGCAAGTAGAAGATTTTCTTTGTATCGTTTGAATGGATGAATAGAAATCAGATTGTCATGAGTAGCATAGGGAAGCATTTTCACTTCTTTAATCAGTTAGATTTATACTATGCTTATCTTTAAAAGATCTCAATACACTTGTTAAAGTGGGGAAGATTTAATTAGTCACTGTTGCGGTGTAACAGAATACCTCAAAACATGATGTAAAACAATAATCATTTATTTGCTCATAATTTTATGGGTTGGTAACTTTGGGCTAGGCTCATGGCTCACTTTTATTCTACATAGTATCAATTTGGATCCCTCATGCATTGCAGTAAGATGACAATTGATGCAGTAGTCATTGGTCTAGTGTTGGTTATTTGCAAAAGCAATGGAGTTAATTAGATCATCATCCAGCAGGCTACCCTAGCTTTTTTTCTAAGATGGTGGTAGAAGGGCTCCTGAATTCAACAAAATAGTGCAACTCCCAGTGTTCAAACACTCTTCCCTCCCACACCCCAGTTTTACTGTAATATAATTGGTAACTCTTTTCAACCTTTTACCTTCTTGCATCATGTTTGCTAATGGTCTATTGGCCAATGAAAGTCACATGGCCAAAGTTAGACACAAAATGATGCAGAAATAGACTCCACCAAGTGATAGGAGAAGCCACAAAGTTAAAAGTATACATACAGACATGCATACATACAGGAATGGGAAGAATTTGTAAAATTTTCATTTTACTGTTTTGCAGTCTCCTCACACGTGGGTTTATATTTAGGATCTATTCGCAGATTATGTTTACAATAGTTAAAGGTAAGAGTTTTGGATGCTACAGAATTATGTTGATTGATGTAGCTATTCTCAAAAGATGTAGACCATACAAGAGAAGTCTTATTAATTCCCTGAATAAGTAATCTACCCAATTTAAAATCCATTTGGATTATATTTGGAGTTTCATGTACAGTGGTCCTAGAGCACAAGACTAGGTTTCCTTCTAAATATGGGCATTAATAAATGAGTGAAAGTAATGTTAAGACATAAAAGATGTGGAGGATCTAGTCAAACAAAGAGGAGAAAAGTATTTCAGACAGAAGGAAATATGACAGGAACCCAATTTTGTTAGTCATTTTTGTGCTTCATGAGCAATACACTTGAGAATCTGGAGACACCCAATACTTAATACACAATATTGTCTACTTATCTGTTCTGCATTGAACTCAGCATTGTAACAGCAGGATCCATAGTTTGTACCCAATAAATGTGTAATGAATGAATAAGTTACTGACTTATTAAGTGGTTGAATGAGTGAATTAATGAATAATAAGAAAAAGCTAAAAGTAAATGCAGACACAAAATAGAAAATTATTCAGGAATGAAGACAAATTGAGGAGAATGTTTTATAGAGAGAGGGAGTGAGGGAAGAAAGAGAAGGGGAAAAGAAGATAAATAAAGCAACAACAGAGGGATGAAGAATGGAGAAAGAACAGGAGAGCCAACAAAGGAAAAGATTTGGGGGGAGGGTATGATAAAAACAGTAGCAGTTTGACCACTTAGCAATTGCATTACAGAATTTTAATACTTCCTTTAAAATACTAATTAATCTTCTAATAGAAGTTTAGAAACAGGGCCCTTATGCACTATTAAGCCACTTCCTTGTTTTATTTTCAAACTACAAAATTTATTTTTAAAGGCTTAATTTTCCTTCAAAAGAGAATTTTGAAGTTCTTATCTGGGCATAGGGTAATACTTTAGTCATTTTCTTTTTTGGTGGGGTTATTATCAGTTCTTACTGAAAATTATTTTGAATTTCAGAATCTGTCAGATTATTTTGGTCTATCTTCTTTGAAAGATAAACTTCCTCAAACATTATTGGAAAATTGTATTTGAAGCCAGCAGCTAATTTTATTATTCTGAGCCATTTTGGCTTTTATTTTTTTTAAGATTTGTTTATTTATGCATACAAGAACTGGGGTACAGGCCGGAGGTATGGGGGAGTGAGAGGATTCACCAGAGACAGAATGGGGAACAGAACAGGCAGATTGACTGAAATACACTGTTGAGGGGAGTAGCGGGCGAGTCAGGAATGGTCTGCTGCACCATGTGGGTAGCTCCCTGGCTGGGGATCGAACTCGTGCTGCAGTGGCTGTGGCCAGCTTCATAGGTTGCGTCTTAACCCCTTGCACCACCAGGAAGGCCCTATTTTAGCATTTAAATAAAAACCAGTTTGAGGGTTTCAAACTCCCAGTAAGAATAATAAAATTAATATCACAATTCATCCCAGTTCTCAATCTGGGTAATACAACTGTGTTTTAGTACAAAGGTAACAATCATGTTCAGAGGCTGATAAATAATTTTTCAAATATTTGACTCTGGCTGCATAGAGAAAGTTGGCAATCTATATAATTAGACAGAAATCAGAAGTTTTGTCTCAGCCCTGAGATACTTGTTATGAATGTGGTTTCCAGACTATCATCTTAGACCTGGACTCAGAGTCCCTCCAGATGACATCTATGTCCAAGGAAAGAGACCCACCACTTTATGGCATATATGGCACCTCCTAAGGCTATTCTGAGTACTTTAGTATTAAGTTGGGTAATATAAGGACTACTCTAAAAAGTCAAATAATAGTAGAAGACAGCTTATGATTAATGCCAAATTAAGTAAATGCTGGAAGTGGCAGGGTCACTGAAGAATTGAATCAAGGAGATTTTGTGGAGAAAATTTAAGTGCAAAGTTCAAATGAAGCTCTAAACTCAAGTATTCTGCCATTGAGCAATATGAATCCAAATCATTGTCTTAATTCAACATGTCTTCTATGTCTACATCCTTCAGAGTGTCCAAGATGAAGGAAAACATCAAACAGAAACGAGCACAGAAACAAAGCATCCAGGAAGTCAAAGTCAAGGTGACTAACACACGGAAGGAGGCCCTGCAGGAACAATTCGATGAATGGATTCTAGACCCCAAAGGAATGATTCCTATGCTTGTGGTAAGGAAGGGGGATATTTATGAAGGGTAGGAAGGGTGAGTTAAAAGGGTTATTACTAGAATACTGAGTGAAGTGTTAGAAGCTTCCTTCTAAATACTCTGTCTTGCTAAGTAGATTCTTGACCTGTCGAGTCCATAAGAGGCAGTTTATTCCATTTGTTCTTTAACATTGAAAAACAACAGCAGCATCAGGTCTACTTAGATTTCTAAAATATTGAAGTTTCAAAATTGTTCGCTACAAACATATATAGCTTTCACTTGATCTTTAGTTTGGGGGGTGTGGGGTGTGTGTGTGTGTGTGTGTGTGTGTGTGTGTGTGTGTAACTAATTACTCTGTGAACTAAGAGACCAAATCTCTCAGCTCCAGAAAACAACTGTACTATAAGAGTTCAATATTTTCTTTGAGGTATATAAATACTTATTGGTTAGATACACGCGAAGCATATTTTAGGTTCCAAGTATATTATTAAAAATAGAGCAAGGAACGCAGGACACAAAATGGGAGAAAATATTTGCAAAAATATATATCTGATATATCTTTATTTTGTATATGCATACAAAACATAACAAAGAATGCTTAAATCTCAACAACGAATTGAATGACTGATTAAAAAAAAATGGACAAAAGTCCTGAAGAGATACTTCATCAAAGAAGATATACAGGGCCTCCCCCGTGGCGCAGCGGTTGAGCGCTGGGTTGCGAAGGTGCCCGCAGCCTCTGCAGCGCCGGTTCGGGTTCGAGGTTCAATCCCCAGCTGCTCCCCAGCTGCTCCCCGGCCACCGGAGGAGGGTCCCACATGGCGCGCAAACCTCTCCTGCCGCCCGCTGCTCCCCTTAGTAGTGTATTCAGTCCTTCTGCCTGCTCAGCTCCCTGCTCTGGCTCTGGTGAATTCTCTCACCCTCCCACGCTTCTGACTGTACCCAGCCAGTGCTTGTATAAATAAATAAATAAATAAATCTTTTTAAAAAATGTAATAAGTATTTAAAGAAAAAAAGAAGATATACAGATGGCAAATAAGCTCAGGAAAAGATGTTCCACAACATATGCCTTCAGGGAAATGCAGTCTATGTTTTAAAAAAAAACTGTGTAAATTCATTTTTTTTAGTAATTGAAGAACAAGAAATTATAAAGGGTTCTTTGGATTGCCAAGCTGGTTGACAAAGATTCCTTAGTTCCATTGTGCCCAGTATCTGAGGCTTGCTAGAAATGTGCATGAAGGGGGCAAAATGGTTACTCTCAGCAACCCAGTTCTCACATGCAAAAGGTTGGAAATTATTTAGGGAGATGTGTGCGTGTGTGTGTGTGTGTGTGTGTGTGTGTGTGTATGTGTGAATGAAAGCACCTTCATTCATATACACATTTTTACAAACCTTCAATTATCCTATAAAGTAAATGCTAATTATTACTTTGGAGTTAGAAGGATTTCAGGATTTAAATGGGAATACTATAGATGACTTTTAGCCTAAAATACTAAATACATGGTAATTGAGAAGTAATATGTGGGTTTTTTCTTTGATATGCAGATTCAAAATGCTCTTCATGATTTTTTTCAAAGTCCTGATTTCCAACTTGGTAAGCCTATCTATTGCTGTAGTATTTGTTTTGAGGGGTGCTGAATTCAGATGAGTCAATATTGAGATAGCTCTTATAGATGTACTTTGTTCTTTCACTCTTTCCAAATGGAGAAAATAGCCAGAGATTGAAAAAGTGATTTTCAGCCCTTTTAGCCCAGGGCCCCATTTTATTACAGACATTCTGTACTACCCCTTTATTATCCTCTCAAATTCCTAGAAGAGATTACGTGCATACATAAGACTTTAAAAAGAAAGTTATGTCATAACTGTGATATAAAGGAGAAATACAAGAAAAGACATAGGACTTAAATATACCGTGTTTCAATATATAAATATCTGCTTACAGCTTCACTGGAAGGCATAATAGAGTAGTCAGACTTTTCTACCTACTTATAATGAATGTTTGGATGTAAGATAAATTAAAAGTAAAATTAAAATCCAGTTGACCATCTCCTTTGTACTTGTATTTGTATTTAAAACTTTAAATACGGGCAAATGAATGGGTTTGAGTTTTTTATATATAATACTCATGGATAGGACTGCTACAAATGCAGACTGATGTAGCTATGTTATATTGGCATTCATACACTTTATGGTATTAACCTGCCATTATTATATAATTTTTGAAATAGTGAACAATTGTAGTAAACTTTCATAGGGGGAAAAGTACAATACTCTCTCAAATTTTCACAATAGTTAGATTATTGAAAATTTCAACAAAAATATACTGTTTACATGTGAAATAGTTAGGTTCTAGACTGAAAGTTATTCTAAGTGCATTTTTCACCTACTCGGATGTCTGGGAGGAGGGGAAAGTCTTTATTGGGCAGAAATTGCAAATGTTCTGCTCCTACTCCTTTCCTTCATTGTGGCAACAAAAATTCACACACATATTTCCGCCATACTCACTGAGGGGGAGAAGGAGACAGCACTATGACTGTGGAGTATGATAGATGTTGCTTTTGTTTTCAGAAAGATTTCCCGGTATAAGATTAAGCAAAGGAGTCTGACTTGCTGCATAAAGAACTAGAATTTGGATCCTGAGATTTACATAATTTATATCCAGTTGATTTTTTTAAAAGATTTCTTTATTTATGCATAGAAGAGCTGGGGTATAGGCCAGAGATGCAAGGGGGTAAGAGGATTCACCAGAGACAGAGTGGGGAACAGAACAGACAGACTGATTGAAATACGCTGCTGAGGAGAGCAGTGGGCGAGACAGGAGAGGTCTGCTTCGCCATGTGGGTTGCTACCTGGCCAGCCAGGGATTGAACTTGTGCTGCAGAGGCTGTGGATTGCTTCATAGTGCGGTGCTTAACCCCTTGTGCCACCAGGGAGGCCCTCCAGTTGATTTTTTGATTGATATTTTGACCATTTTATTATTACAACAACAGATTGTTTGAAATCTAGTCTCACTTTTAAAAATAAAATATGCTTCCCATCTCCCTATCACTGGTCTTAAAACAGTGATTTGCACCTTGCTGACAACCTTTCCTTTTTCAACTTGTTCTCAGCCTATCACACTCCGTAATTTTTTCACACTCAGCACAACTTCAATACTTCTTTCAGAAAATCTTTGAAATAACTTATACATTAATTTTTTGGGGGAAGGTACAGAAGGAATGAATTAAGGGAGCTCTATTTGAGATTATGATCAATTTAGAGAAATTCCACATTTAGTTGACAGTGATTATTTCTTCTCTCATTTCCTATACTATATAGTATTTATTTTCTATATCGTTCATTCTTAGTTCCAGATACTGTAATGGGATGGAGTATACAAAGAAGGCTAAGACATGTTTTCTTCTTTTTTTAATTTAATTTAATATATTTTTTACATCATTTTTCATTTTTGCACAATGTATGCATTTTCATTTGGGTTATATTCCCCATACAATTCCCACCCCTCTTATTTTGACCCTAAGCCCTCTTCCCCTCACTCCCCCCCATAGTGTGTCTCTGGTTTATAGTTGCTTGTTGATTTTAATTTTCACTTTATTATAATTAGTCTTTTTCCTGGTCCCTTATTTTATTTTTTTTTGTTCACTAGATGAATTTTATTTATTTATTTTTATAATTTTATTTTTATATTGCCCATACAATTGCAACCCCCTGATTTTGACCCCAATCCCTCCTTTCCCCCCCACCCCAAAGTGTGTCTCTGGTTCATAGCTGTTTGTTGATTTTGATTTTTTTCTTTATTATAGTTATTCTTTTTCCTGGTCCCTTATTTAGGTTTTCTAGATTCCTGTTATGAGTGAGACCATCCGGTATTTTTCTTTTTCTTTCTGGCTTATTTCGCTGAGCATGATCCCTTCCAGCTCCATCCATGTTGTTGCAAATTGCTTGTTTTTATCTTTTTTGAATGCTGAGTAATATTCCATTGTGTATACGTACCACATCTTCTTGATCCAGTCATCTATTTTTGGGCATTTGGGTTGTTTCTAAAGCTTAGCTATTGTAAATAGTGCTGCTATAAACATAGGGGTGCAGGTGCCCTTTGGAATTAATGTTTCTGTGTCCTTTGGGTAAATACCTAGGAGTGGAATTGCTGGATCATATGGAAGCTCTATCTTTAGTAGGTTGAGGAATCTCCACACAGCTTTCCATAGTGGTTGGATCCTGGTCCCTTATTTAGGTTTTCTAAATTCCTGCTATGAGTGAGACCATCTGGTATTTTTCTTTTTCTTTCTGGCTTATTTCACTGAGTGTGATCCCTTCCAGCTCCATCCATGTTGCTGCAAATTGCATGAGTTTATCTTTTTTGATTGCTGAGTAATATTCCATTGTGTATATGTACCACACCTCTAAAGGGCACCTGCATCCCTATGTTTATAGAAGCACTATTTACAATAGCTAAGCTATGGAAACAACCCAATTGCCCAAAAATAGATGACTGGATCAAGAAGATGTGGTATATATACACTATGGAATATTATTCAACAATCAAAAACGATAAAATCATGCCATTCGCAGCAATGTGGATGGAGCTAGAAGGAATTATGCTCAGTGAAATAAGCCAGAAGGAAAAACAAAAATATCAGATGGTTTCACTTATAGCAGGAATATAGGGGAACCAAATAAGACATCAGTGTAAAAAAATAATAACAGTACAAAACACAACAAAGCAAAAACAGACAATTATAAATCAGAGACATACTGCAGAGGAGGAGGCAGGAGAGGGATCAGAGGGAGGGAGGGAGGGGCAAAAGGGACTGAGGTGATGGTGCATGGGTACATTGGTGAAGGAAACTCTATGGGGATTATACCTGAGGGAGTGGGAGGAAGCAAATATTGTTTCAAAATGAACAATGATGTAAAAAATGTTTATACAGTCCTCTTATGACCCCAATAATTGATATCTCATAAATAAGCATTTGTATAACTCAGTAGTAACTAAAGATTATTTTTATATATACCTCTATGATAGGTAATGATAGGTAAGAGGAGTTACCATTAGAAGTCAAAGAAGCCAATGTATTAGTTCTTCCATAAGTTTGTGTGTTTGTCTGTAGGTAAGATTACTAAGTTTTAAACAATCTTTAATTGAACTAACTGCCACACTCATCATTATTGATCATGCTGTTATTCATGAAACTGTTTTCCTTTTGTTATTAACAAAACTTTTTTTCTTGCTTTATCTGATACCATTCTCTCTTGAATTTTTCTTCTATCTTTGATAGCCTCTTAGCATTTCTTATTCCTTGGTTTTTCTTTTACTTGCCCCTTAAATGTCTCCACGTTCCTTTTTGGTTCTATTACTATTTTACACACTAGACACACTTCTCTGTGTTTTCTTTTTCAAACATGAGATGATTCTCATCTATATTCCCATCCCAAATCTTCCTAATGAGCTCTGTTCTATATGAAAAGACCTACAAGATGAGTGGTTAAGTGAAAAATAAGTTTCATACAAATCAGATCCTATTTATGTATAGAAAAACAAAAGATATGTGCATATACACATTTATACATATGAAAGTGCATAAAAAGGTTGCTAGAAGGAAAACAGCATCTGTTGACAGTGGTTACTTCTGAGGCAGAAGCAAGTGAATGCTGGTGGGGGCAGGGAAAGATAGATTTTCAAATTTTGCTGTTTATATTCTTGTATTCTTTGAATTTTTGAAAGAAGAGATTCATATTTCATTTATAAAGACAAAGGAATTTAAAAAGAAAGTTTCTAGAGGTGTTGTTTTAGGAACTACTAGCATAGATGCAAACATAAGCCAGGCCAGATGTTTTTGTAGTCTTTTATATTATTGATGTATTGGTTTATGAATAGAAAAATAAATGTGTTACAGTAAAACTAACCAGCAAATCTTTGTTCCATAATTAGAACAACATTGCAAACAATTGAATATTACTGACTCAATGGAACCAAGACTGAACAAAATGGAATTTGCTGAAGTAAGATGTTACATTATTCAACATTTGAATCAAATTATTTTGCCAGTTTCAATGGTCTGTGGTAGATGCCATACATACATTAACTTAAATGAAAGCATAATAACTTATTCTATCAATTCTAAGATTTACACTTTAAAATATTTTACCCCCCTAAATTAGGTTACATAATCAAAATTACATAATAGGTTACATAGGTTACATAATCAAAATTATCTTACAGATTATTTTTTCTTTTTTGAGGTTAATTGACATAATATTGTATTAGTTTCAGGTGTACGACGTAATGATTCTCTATTTGTATGTATTGTAAAATGATCACTAAAAATAAGTTGAGCTAACATCTGTCACCATAGTTACAAATTTTTTTCTTCTGATGAGAACTTTTCAGATCAACTCTCAGCAACTTTTAAATATGCAATGCAGTATTATAAACTGTAGTTACCATGGTATATATTGCAATCCCAATAATATCTTTCAATCAGTGGTACTCATGATGTGAAAGTGAAAAAATACTTCCGCCGAAACCTTTGGGTAAGATTATTTTTAAAAAGCTTCTTCTATTCAATGAAATGTGGCTATACAAATTATGAGATCTAAAATGTACTAAACTATCCATATATTAATCAGGAAATCCTCTCCTAAATCCTCATTTATACTTATACAGATGAAAACACTGAGGTGCAAAAGGTCAAGTAAATTGTACAAGTTACTAATGGAGTTGGGAAATTTTATTCTGGCATTTTGATTTCAAAATGTACATACTAATGTATCTGAGAAAGTGTGATTCTATCATAATGGAGTAAGTGAAAGAAACAATTTTAGGGGTATCAGAACCCTAAGTCTTTTATATAGCCTCTTTTTTTTATTGTTTTTTCTTTAATTCTACTTGTTTTCTCTGATGAGTCCCAGAATCAATATAATTATCTCCTTCTCCTTTCCTACACTGTTGTTCCATTGAAGATTATGACTACATATATAATTTCAAGGATATATAAAAAATTTCTGGAATACTTCTTGAAATGATTACCATATAGATAATAGTTTGGCAATTCCATCTCAGTTATGCTATGTTTTCTTGGATTCTGTATCTGTCCATTTGGCATCCATTAGTGACAGGGCCAGACTAATGGCCAAAGTTACTTATACCTACCCCATGATCTAGTGCCCACACTCTGGACCAACTCCTTATCTAAATCACCAAACCAATATTTTCATTGCCCTAGATCAACCCAGGACCAGCTATCAGACAATTAGGGATAGTCTTTATACCCCAAAGGCAACTAGAATTATTCAAACTAGGCAATCCTAAACTGTTCACCCTGCCCTGCCTTTCTGTTTCCTGAGGACACCCAAATAAAGGCTCTGGCCTAAGTTTCTCCCTTACTTCTGTTTTGCCTCCAGACCAAAACCTGGTGATTCCCTATGGCTCTGTGTGGCATAGTATGCACTCTTCTCTTGACAATTGTAAGTAATAGTAGTCTCCTTTCAATGATATTAGCCTCTCCATGTTGTCATTCAGTCATCTCCATAAGTTAAAAATCCTGTAGGTATTCACAGAAAAATAGGCAGAAGAACAAACTATTAAAATGATTCAGAAAAAGTCAAGGCTTTGTTACCTTAGTGTAGTAATAAACATGTTTTACTTTCTTCACAAGATTATGAATCTATATGTTACTTGCCCTTTTGTCTTTCACTAGTTTCTCTAAAAGGTTGGACAATTTAGAAAATTTTTCTTACTTTTTATGTAAAATATAAAAGTATTATGTGAATTTTATGCTAGATGAATTAGCTCAATAAGAAAGTAATAGATTCACTTTAGAAAAATAAAAGTAGAAAAGTATGAAGAATAATATTTTAATCCATAATTCATTTTAATGGCTATATATTCCATTATATGGGTATATTATAGCTTATTTAATCATGTCTTTATTTTTGTATATCTACGCTGTCATTATTCACTATAAACATGATAGAATTAATACCTGCATATAACTCTGTTTACAGCTTGATATGGACTGCATTATATCCTACCAAAATTCCTACAATGAAGTCTATCCCCCCACCCATGATTTTGTCAGGAGATAATTAAGGTTCAATGAAATCATTCAGGTAGAGTTCTAATCTAATAAGACTTGGTGAGAGCTTTCTCTCTTTCTCTTTACATGAGTGCACTGGGAAAAAGGTCATGTTAAGACACCTCGAGAAAGTAGCATTTGCAACCCAAAGAGAGACTTCACCAGACACCAACCCTACCAGCACCTTGATTTTGTACTTTTCAGCACTTAGAGCCCTATGTTACCCATAAATTGCACAAATAACCTCATTGGAGTCAATTTTTTAAAATTAAGAGAACTTTTATGAGAGTAATGCTGTGAAATGAATTCCCACTTCTTGCTAGTTTGCAGAGATCTTCTCTAGCAATGTCATGTTAAATTTAACTTCTCTTACTTTTCCATGTGATTGGAGAAATCTTCTAAAAAGTCAAACTATCATACTTTCCTAATTCTAAGATGAACAGTTTACTTTTTGCATTTCTGAAATTAAGGTGCATTTTACAGGTGAGATTGTGTCAATGGCACTTGTGAGATTTCATGGGGTATAGTTATCCCCAAACTCATTTGTTTTGCAACCATCCCAGGCTGGGTAGGAAAGCAGTTGCCTTGCCAGCAAAGCCTGAGACATGGTTCTTCCCTTCCCCATAATAGCCACTTGGAATCAGGTTCCCATGGTGGTGATCACAGTGGGGAGAACCAGAAGGTCAGTGCCTCCAACTTAACCCTGCACTGCATGGACTGAAAGAACTGGATGGCCGGTGCTCAGCTACTAAGGCACCTACCCTATCACCAATCTGTGTTTACACTGCCTCTTCCTCTTAGAGATCTCCTTGTTAGGATACATGTGATTGTATTTAGATCCACCCAGAGAATGGAACAAACTTGGGAGGGGAGAGGGTCACGGTTTGTGGGTTCTCACCTGTCTTGCTTACAATTGCAGGATGTAATTCAGCTCAAGGTGCAACAATGGGACTTATTGACAAAGGGATGACTGGGGAAAAGGAAATGTTTCTAAGGCCACAAATGGCCAGCTGTCCTACCCCAGGTAGTGTCCACAGTGTCCAGTAGTCTAAACCAAGAGCTGCTCGTGCAAGACAAAATTGTCCCTTTGATGAAAGCCTGAAACTGGTGGTTACAACAGTAAGCTGTGGACCAGGATCCAACTAATCTGTGGCAGCTGGGGGTAGTCACAGATGATGCTGCCAAGGCTGCACTGCAGCAACGTGGCTGCAATCTAAAGCTAGGCTGGGCAGTGCCGTACACCAAACCATGTTATAGTTCTTTAGAGATGCCAGGGATAAGCCCCTGCGCAACAGATGAATGAAGCTGAGGCAAAGGTCTCTGTAGAAAGTCTTCCCAGGAAAGAGTCTGGAGGAGTCTCTCCCAAAGCTAAGTTCCCAAAGCTGAGTCTCTCTGGATGACCCTTTTAATGCCTCTCTGAGGGTTTTCTTCAAGCCAGCTTGGCTTATACGCCCCCCCTCCCTTTAGGGTACTTGCCTTTCAAAATGATTGGTCCATTTTCCAAACCAGCTGTTTCCAATACTTGATTGGTGCCTGTGCAAACTTGGTGTCCGTAGGAGCTCAAACCTGGTTGAAGAGGCCAGCCAAGTTTATACCTGGTATATATACCAGGCTTATACCTGCCCTGTATGTCTTCAAAACTGCCACATTTTTCAAAATGTCTTTTTTTTTCTAAAACGCAAATCTGCCTGCACCAGGTCAGCCATCAAGACCCACTATGAGAAGCCCAGGCTGATGCCACTCAGTTGGCAGCCCTCAGAGAACCAGAAGCCTCATAGACTATTCTTCCAAATTTAGGATAATCTTACCTCAAGTACCTCTTAATTTAATCATAGCTACAAAGATTCTTTTCCCATATAGGATAAGATTTACAGGTTCTGGGGACTAAGATCGGATATCTTTGAGGGCCATTATAAAGCCTCCTACACATACTTTACAATATACTTATTTAAGGTGTACAGTGGCTTTAAATATATTTATGGAGTTGAGTAACCAATTACTCAGCATCCTTGTCAACACTTGTTATTGTCTCTTTTTCTTTGTTTTTTTGATTATAACTTATCCCTGTGGACATAAAGTAGTAGCTTACACTAGTTTTAAATGCATTTCCCTGATAGCTAATATGATATTGACCGTCTTTTCATGAGTTTATTGGTCAGTTGTATATATCTTCTTTGGTGAAATGTCTACTTAGGTCCTTTGATCATTTTTTAATTGGGTTATTTGTCTTTTTACTTATTACTGAATTGTAAGAGTTCTTTACATATTCTAGATCTAACCCATGTCAAATATATAATTTGCAAATATTTTCTCCTATTCTGTGTGTTTTCTTTTCACTTCTAATTTTGATGAAATTCAATTTAGCTTTTTCTTTTGTTGCTTTTAATTATGATGTCTAAGAAACAAAGATCATAAAGATAGACTTCTAAATTTTATATTTTAACTCATATATATATATTTAAGTGTTTAAATATATAGTCTTTAAGTCTTTGATCCATTTAGGGTTCATTTTGTATATGGTGTGAAGTAGCAAAACTAAAAACATTTGATAAGTGAAAAATAAAGAGCTACAAATAAGTAAGGATATAAGGAACCTATTATATTATCAACAGTATTTATTATAAAGGTATTTATTAAACTTTACTCCCTACATGTCCCTGTTTGAGTTTTCATGGAATGTTGTTCAAAATTTTATCATATATAGGCCTCCAAGAAAACCATATAAATTCCCCAAACCAGAAATTTGATGTTATATTCTCTCTTATCATTATATGATAAAGCTGGAAAATAACAAACAAATTTTAAATGTATTTAAGCCTAGCCATTTGGGATTTTAAAAAATACTCTCTTTAATAGTTCTTGGGTCAGAATCTTGCATCTAATTTTATAAAATGCTACTAAATGTGTACTTAGGGAAAAATTATA